TGAACAAATTAAATTAAAAATTGTTAAATCTGGAAAAGCAAGTCCTAACAGCATCAGATTTCTGTTTCTGAAATTGGGAGATACTTTTGCCACGTGTTTCATGTGCCTCAACTCCCTGTCTCTGAAGTGGAGGTAACTTTGCTGCCTTCTCTCCCAAGAATATTAGAAAAATAACAAAGCTGGTATTTGTGAGCACAAGGAGGGCAAGGAAGGGGAGCCTGGTGCTGAGTTTGAACCTAGGAAAAGGAGCAGGGGCTGGAAACAGAGGCAGGAAAAATGCAGGGATGTCAGGGACAGGAATGAAGAGCTTGGGTGCAGAAAGCTGAGCCTGGGGACTGTAGATAACCAGAGAAGGGACATTTTTGGCATGAAAAGCAGTTGTGGGATGGAAAGCCTGGGCAAGGATTGGGATTGCCAATGTGAGCAAAATCATCCTGATTCTTACCAGGCTGATCAGAGAAAGAGAGCTTGAAAGGGATTGGGGTCAGAGCCTCGGAAATAGCAGAGAGGTCTGTCCAGCAGAAAACGTTTTGTGTTTAGCTGGGGCTTTCAATGGGATTGTTTCTCTGTGGTCAGCAAATATCTGTGGAAATGTGGTGCTGGTGTCCCAGAACCTGTTCATACCATCACTTACTGCCTCAGCCCAAGTGACCAAAATATCCCTGTTGGTACCAAAAATAAAGGCCAGCTGCTTTACCTGTATAGTGCCGTGCAATGAATTTCCTCTTTGTCTGTGGCTTAACATTTAGAACATTTTTAAGCGGTGTTAATATATTAGGATTATTTTCAGCCCTGTATATGGGCGTACAAAAAATTTCTCCACGTAGAAAATTCCTCTGCACAGAAAATTTATCCACACAGAAAACTTCTCCAGACAGAAAACGTAAGGGATGATGTTTTGAAATACCTGTGCAGGCTTTGTTCACAGAGAACGTGTGTGTCCAGTGATTCTGATCTTAAAGACAAGATAATATTCAGCTGTTTTCAAAGGACTCTGCTGTGGTTTGTTGTTCAGAATAGGTCTGCTCTAAGGATGAATGTGGTGTATGCAGTGAAATGTGCCTCCTGGAGAACCAGCAATTTTTTAATAATGTTTGGAAGTTGGGATTGTAGAGGGATGGATTGTAGAGGAAAGGATTACAGGAGGAATGGTCTCATAATTAAAACATGGAAGGTATGGTGTGTGTCTCTGCCAATAGCGCTGAACTTCTGTGTGGTCATGTTGCTTCAACACAGCATTTTTGTTTCAATACTTTTATTTTTCTGAGTGCCTGTCTTAGGGATTCTTGGAGAAATGCTAAGCACCCAGCTGCAGATGAAGTTAGCATTTGAACATGTGGAATTCTGCTAAACATTCTGGGAAAGCAAGTCCTAACTGAGATTCTGTCTCTGAAATTAGTAGATACCTTTTGCCATGTGTTTCATGTGCCTCAATTCCCTGCCTCTAAAATGGAGGTAACTTTGCTGCCTTCTCTTCCAAGAATATCAGGAAAATAACACAGTTGGTATTTGTGAAGCATTCAAGTGCTATATACTGACATGTGCTATTGAAAAGCCATTCTGTCTGCAGAACAAGGTTTGAATAGTGCACAATAAATATGTCAGAAAAGCTCAGAGTAAACAGTGACAAGAAAATAAAATACTGGCTAGCCAGTCACTAAAGGAATAGCCAGTCCCTAAATGAGCACTGTGCATCCTCCTCACTGAAGAAGATGAGGAAGGAGAGAATAAGGCCTGTGTGATGAAATTCTGTATCATAACAAATACACCTGTAAAAAACTCACTCCCAACATCCAATCTAAGGATCTTGAATTTTTTACTTTTCCCATCTAAATCTTTGCAAATTTGCAGACATTCTTCTGTCTATTTTCTGAAATAGACAGTATTATAGCAGTATATATTCTAAAAGTATATATTTATTTATTTACATTTATCTATACTGAAAATAAAGTAATATAGCAGTATATATTTTTAAAGTATACTTTTATATATATACTATTATAGTAGTATATATTATGAAAGTGTATATATATATAAAATATATATAATTACATATATTGTATATAATATATATAATTATATCCATTATATATATTATAATAATGGTGTGTATATATATATACACTATTATAGAAGCGTATACATATATAATTTAATAATTATACATATATATAATTACATATATTGTATAGATTACATATATAATTATATAAATTCTAAATATTATATTAATGGCATACATATACACTATTATGGTAGTATATATTATATAAGTGTATATATAATAATTTAATATATTATAATTACATATATTGTATAGATTATTATATATAAATAGATATATATAATATATAATATATAATATATAATATATAATATATAATATATAATATATATTGTATATTGTATATTATATATTATATAATATATATTATATAATATATTTTATATTTTATCTTTTAGATAATAGATAGTAGATAGTATATAATTATTGTATATACAGTTATTATAATAATTGTATATATACACTAATATAATTGTATATATTATAAAAGTATATTTATTTTTATATTATTTATATACTATTATAGTAGCATATATTCTAAAAGTATATATTTATTTATATTTAAAATATAGTAGCATACATTCTAAAATAATATATTTATTTTAGAATAAATGTAGCAAATTAACACAGCGTTGACATGAAAGATTTTTTTGCTTTCTGCCCCACTTTGAAGTCCAGGGCAGCATGGCAGGTTTTGCAGTGGTTCCCTGTCTGTGATATTTACTCAGGGATATTTAGTGTCTGAGTGAGATGAGTTTGCTGGGCCTTGGTTCTGTTTGCTCCTCGTCACAGAGATGCCAGCAGGGAGTGGGGGAAGGTTGGATTCCTTCGCTTGTCTCTCCACCCCCCACATCCCCCTGCCCACAGCAAAGTGCTGTGCACTTTTTTAGAGAGAAAATATGATTGAGAGATCTGCCAAGTGCTCCCCTGTACTTCCCAGCTTCTCCTTCTCTGCTTTGCAGTGCTCCCATCCCTTCCCACAGCATCCAAGTGGCTTTTCCCAGCTCACCTTGTGCCCTGTGTGTGATGTGTTGAGGCAGAAATGAGGCAGCACCATCAGCCACAGCCGGGTTTAACCTGCCTTGGAGTAAGGGGAGAGCTGTGGGTGAAGGATTCTCTGCCACAGCACTGGTTTAATGCAGAAATTCAGAGCTGCAGTCGCTGTGTGGTATTTACAGGTGTGCGGGTTGTGCTTCTCAGGCAAAATGCTGCCAGTAAATGCACACCTCTCTCCTATTCCAGCACTGGGCTGTGGCATCTCACCCTGCACACAGGCTTTCCTGCTCCTCATGCATTATTTTCTGCATTTCCTTCCCTTGGAGAAAATAACAGCACAGTTCTTCTCCCAGTGCTGCCCACGGCCAGGAGTGGCCAGTGGTGGGAAGCCCTTGGGAGCATCTCTCAGGTTACACCCAGCTGCACAGTCTCAGAGCCAGCGAGGAATTCTGCAGTCAGCTCACTGAAAATTCAGAGATTTCCCATGCTTTTTAATCTAATTATTATGTTACAGAAGTTCCAGAAATATTGAAGAAAGGGAAGCTGTGTTTAGGTGTGATAAAAGCAAAAATGTGGCAAAGCTGAGAATAAGGACAGTCCACAGAGCCTCCTAATTCAGTTTTGCAGCCACTGCTGTTCTCCTGTTCCCTTCAGAAGCGAGTGCATTTTAAAGGAACCACCCAGTTTAGCCTTTGCCTACTAAATCTTTCAAGAAATATGCTCCTTCCATGATACCAGTTTCATAAATTATTGCACTGTGCAGAAGATGCTCAACTGTCTCATCTGACCCAGCCTGGGTCCAAAAGCAAGCCAGTCATTAAGCAAGTAAAGCCTCAGTTTTACATTAATTTTCACCTCCCTTTACAAAAGCTAAATGGTAATGTCATGTCTTTTCTACATCTCCCTCAGAGGGAGGGTGGAAATATTTTTGTCGTAGCTGAAAAATAAGGTTTATTGTGCAAGGACTGTGTGTTTGTGGGCAGCCATGTAACCTCTGTCGCTGTTTCCCCATCTGTAAACTGGATTTAATGTTCCAACAACTCACTGGGGAGGGCAGGCTTTGATTAACATGTATGATTGCCTTCTGCAAATGCAACTACTGTCACTGCTTGGTTTTATTAGCCACTATCAGTAGAATATGAGGAGGAAACATGCAGCAGAATAATGTGCAACCAGGGTGAGCCCTCTGCATCTTTTGGCTATCATATAATTTATTTTCAGACTCTTGTCACCATGCGTGCATATTAAAAATAAAACTCTACTTATACTTCAGGGCTATAGAAATCAAATAATTTGGTGTAGGGGTTGACATGCAGATGAAACACTGGTTTTTAAAGGGGAAGGTTTTTAAAGGGGAAAATGCCCATAGATGTACTTAAATACCTTGAGAAAATTTGTGTTTTGCTTAGGAAATATAACTTGGTGTAGAGGTTGACGTGCAGATGAAACACTGTTTTTTAAAGGGGAAAATGCCCATAGATGTATTTAAATACCTTGAGCAAATTTGTATTTTGTTTAGGAAATTTTCATAAGGAAAAAAAATCCATTCCAATTTAGAGAATCCAATGTGCTGAAAACACAAACCTGGTCTTTACAGAAACTGTGACACACAGTCAAGAAAGCAGCAAGGAGATTTAAAATGTTGTTGTGCCTTTAACATATCAAATATAAATCCTTCATATCATTCCTGTTGTGTTGAGGTTTTCAAAACAGAAGTATTTTGGAACAGGAGAATAATATTATGGTTGGTAAGTCTAGAAGAGCGTTGGGGAAGTGCTTTATTTGTGTGAGTAAACACGGATCAGCCAGGGAAAAGACGGCATTTCCAAATGCGCCATGCGAAATGAATTCATCTCTTTTTTTTTATTATTTTTTTCTCTCTGTGTTTTCCTCTCTTTCCTCCCTCTCTCTCTCCCCTCCTGAAACCCTCCTGCCACAGCGGCTGCATTTGCCTCCAGACTTGTCAGACACAGTGAGCCGCGCGAGCAAACAGGATCTGGCAGGATCCGCCAAACTGCTGAGCTCAGGATGCGGCGCCATGGCCATCGGCAAGCAGCACCTGGACTTCTAGTGATTCCTGCTTAGCAGCCTCGCTCACGTTCAGCTGACACCCTCATTAGGAGTGTTAATGACTTATATAAATATTTTTCTTAATGATTTGACCCAGCAGTCTTTAAAAATATGTGTTATCATATAAGGCCTTCCTTTTTTAGCTTTTTTTTTTTCCTTTTTTTTTTTTTTGTGCGTGTTCTCTTTCTTTGTACTAAATTTGGTCTCCTTTGGGTTTTGCTTTTTGTTAAATCTTTTTTTCTGTTGGGTCCTGCCATTGTTCTGCTCCATTGGAAGCAGGTAATATTTTATTCCTTTACTTAAAATACAAAAATTGCAATTACCCTTTCAATTTTTTTTTTTTACATTAAAAATAAAGGGATGTTTTTCTCAAAAGGATTTTTTATATAGTTACATATAATATTTTGTATGAATAATGGGTTTATTGAAATAAAGGAATGGAACTTATTGAAATAAAGGAATGGAACTAAGCAATTTGTTGTCATGTGTTATTCAAACAGCAAACTACACATTTTTAAAAACATGCATTTCTGTAATTGAAACACCATTCTTAAATTTCAGGAAATCCCTACCTCATTTTATTAAATATGTAATAATAAATTTATAATACATAAGATAGTTTTTATTCTAATAGGACTGCAATTGAGGATGGGGGTGTTTAAATCAGAATATATTATAGATAATTACTTTGCCTTATGGCTTACTACATGGATTAAAATGCACTTGAATGGAATTTCCTAACCAGAGAGGAAAGAATTGATTTCCTTATGTAGTTCAAAACAGTAATCCTAAACAATTGAAGTCAGCACTATGAAATTATGTCAACAGACATAATTCAAGATGGAAATTCAAACCGACAGCTACATTAATGCTGGGAAACCAGAAGAGTGCATTGGAGCTGGGGGATGTCACAGAGAGCTGGTCTAAAGCAGGGCAGAATACACAAGTAATTCAGCCTTTTGTACCCTCAGATATACAATTTGTGAGCTCCTAACTGTTCTCTGTGTATCCCCGTGTCTCTCTCATCAAACAAAGGAACAGTGAAGCAAAGCTGACCTGGGAATTAAAGTGGTTTGCATTCTTTCTTCTGAGGCTGACTTCCATTTTGAGAGGTAATATCTTCTTCTCTGCAGAACTTCCAAGCCACCCAGCTGTAAGATTGCATTACAGTTTCAAAATTTAGTCTTTATAATAGTGTATTACATGGCTGGAGTGAAATTGAGTCTTCAAAGAACATGTTAATAGGATGCAATAATGGTAACATATTTTGATGGGTTTGGAAAACCAAGACTTGGGAAGTGGTTTGCTTTTTTTTTTTTCCTCTGCAATCCAGGTTCTTCTTTATTTTTTTTCTTGACAACGCTGTGTAAAACAAAGACATAGCTTTTAAAACTGTCTAACTAATATGATGAATGTCAATCACTTAAAAAACTCCACTGTAGCATAAACACATACTGTATACAGCTTTTATTCTGAATTAGAATAATTGAATCAATGACAGTGATTTGCCAGGATGTCAAATCTATCCATCATATCCTGTCACTACCAGTTTATTTTTTGTGATCAAAATCAAAAAGACTACTATTTTGTCATCAGCTATTTCATTAGTAGTAACAATCAGGTTTTCTCTTCTATATTTTTTAGATATGCCTGTTATATTTTTTATTTCAAAAGACACAAATCCTTTTTAAATCTTTTCAAAATAAAGTTTCAGAACTGAACTGTCAGTTTGGTGAAGAAAAAAGACATCTGCTTTCCTATGCCAACATATTTAAAATATTATCATTGATGTCTCAAACATTTTTTCTCTTTTTGTATTATGTGTAGCACTGAATGGAAGTTCTCATTAGATAAGTAATTGTGCCTTTTGAAAGCATGAGATAATTTAAATACTTAGGATAAAGCGATTTTTAACAAAGGTGAAGTTTTACATTGTACGTCTTTTTAATGTAAATAACACAAAACACACTTTATATTCTTTGTGGAATGTAAAGTCACAAAGCATATAAATTGCTGCCAACATATTTAAATAGGTCATTGACTTAACATACAGAGGAGAAAATATCATTAAAGTCACAGTCCCATTTCTAGCTGAGATATTACCTGATAATTGTTGGTGTGCATCTGCCTATATGTGTGCCCTGTGCATCTGCAAGGCTTCAGTTTCCAAAACTTCAACAGGGTAATATTAAAGCTGACAAACAGTTTGAGTAATAAAAGGAACTCCTTCTACAAACCTGCATTAGTTTGGGATTTTTTCTGAGTCATTAAATGTGCTTTGTGAAGTGTTGGAGAATGCAGTGTTGTTTACCTAAGGCAAAGGCATGGAGTTTTGGAAGATTTTTAGTTTTATAAAGATGGGGTAACTGAGAGGTGTTTGAAAAGATTTTATTCTTAGTCTCATAGAAGGGTGAGATATAAGAAATGTAATCTAGTTTAATCTCTCTCTTCACAATGTCAACTCTATTGTATTGTCTTAATACACTTTATCTCAGTATTTGTATACAGATACTCAAAACCATATAAACTTCCAATCAACTTTTCAAAATCTTCTACAAGTCCATTCCCTACAATGGAGCAAAATCTCTCTTCTTTTCTCCCAAAATCTCCTCTATCAGTTACAACTACACCTGAGAGGGACTTGGCTAATCCAGCGAGCTGAGAGGTGAGACAGAGCTTTGGGTGTGCTGCCTGATAGCAGGCAGAGAGAGGGCAGATTTGGGGTAGATGTGGGGTAGAGAGAGGGTAAATATGGGGTAGATAGAGGGTAAATATGGGGTAGATAAAGTGTAGATAGAGGGTAGATAAAGTGTAGGTAAATTGTGGATAGAGTGTGGATAAAATGCAGATTTCAGTCGTCGCGGCAGTTTTGACTTGGGAACCCAGAGAAATGTTCACCTGGTGATTTTCTGTGCCTTTTGCCCATGGCCACTCTGTGCCTGTCAGGCTCCTGTGCACAAACCGTCCTTTTTCAGGTCTGTCTTCCCTTGACTGGAAGGCAAATATTTAAGCGAGGGGAGCAGCTCAGGTAATCGAAGAATGGGCACAGCCTCCCGTGCCAGGCTGTGCCCATGTGCTCCCAGCTCCTTTTGGCATCTCGAGAGGCCCCTTGCTGGCTTGGAGGGAAATCTGTGCCATCCTCACTCCTGCTCAGAGATTGCAGAATGAGGGGGGGGGGTTTGTTTGTTGCAGATTTTTTTTAAGCAGAACTTCCTACTTTTTAGCAGGCTACAAACTGAAACCACCGAACTCGGCAGGGAAACAATGGATTCATCCCAGGGAAGACGTTCCCAATTCAGCACAAGAACCTGATCTTTACAGAAATTGTGACACACAGTCAGGAAAGCAGTAATGAAATTTAAAACGTTGTGCCTTTAATATGTCAAATAAGAATTCTTTCTGTAATTCCTGTTGTGTTGAGGTTTTCAAAATATAAGTGTTTGGAGCATGAGAAGAATATTATCATAGGGAAGTCTTTTTCTCTGTTTGTAAAGACATTTCAAAAGCAATTTCCAGGGTGCAGCTGAATTCAATTTTGTGTAACAGTAGCTACAAGCACCTGGAAATGGGCATTCAACTACTCCAGATTTGATACCTTTGTGGTAGTACACAACTGGTTTAATATTTAAATGTAATATTAAGTAGTGATGCTGTTCCAAACACAGTTTTTGGGAAAGTGCAAAAGCCTTAAAAAATAAAATAACCTTTCACCATGCCAGTATTGGAAGGTGAGTTGCTAATCAAGTTTCTCTGAAACCACAAGGATGTAACACATCCCATTAAAAATGTGGCTGGGCTACAAGAGCTAAACTCAAACACACACTCACATATATTAAACAAGTATTTCTCCAGGATCTTCTATTAGAAATTTAAAGTGTTCTTCTTCTTTTGCCTGTGCTGGAGAAACATTACAGCTCCAGAGCACAACAGAAATGGGAAAGAAGATGCTTTTATGCCTTTAAGAGATGGTGGAAGCAAGTCCAATTCCCCCATGCCATCTCTTGGGATTTCTATTTTCTCTTGTGAGCTACATGAGTGCAGGACCTGCCTGCATTTCTTTTTTTAATCACACTAAGCACATGATAGTGCTTATTCAATAATAAATGTACCTGTGTAGAAGAAAAGAATGAAAGTGAATCTTCTTCTTCTTAGGGAAAAAATGGCAAGGGGGTAAGAAAGCAGAAATTCCAGCACACTTTTTTTTTTTCAGGTTCTATTTAATATAAGCAAATGTTAGAATCTTTTTCTTTTCCAAAAAATAAAAAAGAAAAAGAAAAAAAAAACGTATTTCAGCACCTGAGTAGATGGATCTTTCAGGGCTGTTGGGCATCCAGCATCCCAGAGCATCTGCTGAAAAATTGGCTGCTTATTTAAACTCTGCCTTTAAACAATTTTAAAAGTTATCAGCCACATCAAACTGATTTGCAGACCTCCTGTTCATATCAAAACAAAGATACATTTTATGTTTTCAGCATTTTATTGCATGAGGATTTTATAGACCTGCAGAACTTAATCTGAAAAATCTCCCAGAAAAGTCAGTGATAGACCAGGAGCAACATGGTAGGGTAAGGTCCAGAGGCTAGATCTAGAGAATTTTTAACTGCATATTCCTCTAGATATTTAAAAAAATGTATTTTATTGTCTTCTGGCATTGAAGATAAATGAAAAACCCAAAATATAGCAAGATTTTTAAAAAAAAAAAAAGTCTTTATGCTGGCAGAGTTTGAGTCTGAATGTTCATAGCCTCAGAATCTTCTCAGCACTCAGAGTGTCAGAGGCATTCTCTTAAAAGTCCTGAAAATGGTGAGTTTTGGTGCACTTTCAGATATTTCTTTTGAAGTCAGGTTGATGCAGGTGCACTAAAGAAAGCTCTTTCTTGAACTTCACAGGGCTGGACTCAGAGAAGGACAGAAAGGGTGAATGGATCTGATGTAGGTATGAAATCAGGCAGTTTTCAGTGCCTGCATTTTGAGATTTTGATATATTGTGTGGAGAAAGAGCTGTTTAAAATGCATTGCTTGGATGAAACTTCTCAGCATTTCTTAGAATGCATTTATTTAATGCAAATCAAGTCAGAGCTTCCACTCATAGGCCAGGGCTGGTTGTGCAGGGCATCATGGAACCTGCATGACTTCAAGCCAAATTTGGCTTCCTGACCTGTTTTAAATCAGGGATTTAAAGGACAGGGATTCTTCCAGCAGGGCTTGACACCAGTTCCAGCTCCACTGTCTCCAGCTCACAGCTGGGAGCTGCAGCTCTTCATTCCTGAGCAGGGGAATGTCAGTGCATCCCTTTCCTTCCTGGGCACGTTCAACATCTCGGTGGAGCCAGCAGGTGAGCGTGTCAGACCCAAAGGTTCCTCAGGGATGAAATTCCTGCCAGCAGCATGGCCTGGCACCTGGGAAAGGTGAGCTGAACCACAGGACCACAGGGTGGGTCAGGCTGAAGGGGACAGCAGGGCCATCCCTGA